AACAATGTAACAATTGTCTCCAGATCTAGAAAGAACCAAAATATTCTTTCCATGTTGGTCCACAATTCGGCAACCTTTCTTGGAGAAGCAAACTTCATCTGCCACTTTATCACATAACTGGCTAATGCAATGAGACTTGACTTCAACCCTTCTACATAACTAACATTCTTGAGCTGAGGAAGACCAAAAATATTAACAATACTTTTTTCCCATGATTTGGGACTTGTCTCCACTACCAAAAATAATGCCACCACCATTGAAATGTGAAAAAGATAGGAAATTATCTTATCCCTATACATGTGACAAGAGCACTCACTGTCAAGATACCATACAATTGGTTTGGTGGCAGAGAGAACATTGCAAACAACAAGGCACATGTTGGAAACTTTATGAACCCGTTTGGAGCGAGGCTTCACACTTTCCATACTGGATGATTGCACAAGTTGAGCAATTATGTTGACTTCATTGACTAGTTAATCCACCTGATTCTTCAAACTATCATTCTTCCCAGAGTGAAGTTTCCTACACTTAGGACGAATGTGGCCTAATTCACCACAGTGATGACATGTGGGAATAAATCTATACTTGAGCTTGGATTGACTTTAGTTGTCATAGGAAATGATTCTCTCACAAATCTTGATTTGATAACCGTTGAGCTTGAGCTGTTTTTCACGTAGCCAATGCCACTTTTGTCACCATGAAGTTTCCTAAGACTTAGCATCTTGTCATTTTTTTCAGCCCCAATAGTAAGACGAATAACATTGTCATTTGCCTCATTTAGCCCAAGTAGCTGTTTCTGATTAGCCTTATGATAAAAATATTATTTGCTTTCAACACATCAATTTGATTCATCAAGTTTTCTTGAGATTCCAGCAATTTTTGAACTTGAGCTTCAAGAGCAGCAATAACATCATCTTTCTCCTCTTTGTCATTGTAATGAAAATCCTTCTCATTTAGCTCCTCAATATGTGCCTCAAGATAACTAATCTTTTCATCCAGTTCAATTCTGACTAGACGAAGAGACTTGTTTTCTTTCTACAACTCAGCATTTCTTGGTCAGCTCAATCTGCTCCACTTTTGTAGCACAAGTCTAATAAAATAGAGTATCATATTTAATGCATAACTCATCATAAGTCATCTCCTCATTGTCATTCAACACAAGATCATCATCACATGGAGACATTTCCTTCATTGGAGCAACAAAAGCAACAATTTTTTCTTTATCATTTGACAACTTATCAGAATGCATAGACTCTTCACCTTCACTTTCACTCCAAGTAGCCATGATTGCTTTGTCCTTTTTCTGACTTGATTCCCTGTTGTTTGCACTCAGCAAAACTATGTCCACTACCACCATAAGAAAAACAAAGACAAGATTCTCTTGAGGGAGATTTATCCTTCTCTACTTGTAAATTTTCCTTGTTGTCTACCAAAAGTGAGTTTTCTACATGATTAGTGATTTGGGTTTCTAGGATTCCTTAATCCTTTTGAAATCTCTTCCCTTATAGTTGATAATCTTTCTAAATTGTTTAACAAGTAGGGCAAGATCTTCTTCTGAGGTTTGTCCACACAAGTCACTTACACTCTCAATGTTCACAACACTTTGAAGGGCCACATTTTTTCTCTTCTTAGAGTCATTTTCATCCATATCAAGCTCTATCTCATAGGTAATGAGTTTTCCAACCAATTTTTCACGCTTGATCTCATTTAGGTCCTAAAACTCTTGAATGACAATCTTCTTTGCTTGAAATCTCTTGGGTAAGGATCTCAAAATCTTTTGAACAATGGTTGTTTCGTTAATAGGTTTCCTTAACCCCAAGATTTCATTTGTTAACATTTCAACTTTCTTATAGAAGATGGAGTAAGTTTCAGACTCGAGCATTTTCAAATCCTCAAATTTTGAAAGAGTCATCTGGAGCTTTAGTTCTCTCACTTATATATCACCCTCATGAAGAATTCAGAGTTTGTCTCAAGCTTGCTTGGTAGTTGTGCTATATCGAACATGAGCAAACTGATTAGACAAAATGGAAAAAACAATAGCATTCTTTGCTTTCCTATTAGCCATGGTTGAAGAAATTTCTCCTTGAGTCTGTTTTCCTTTTGGCTTAATCACAGACTCTCCATTGACTAGCCTCAATGGAGCCTTCCACTCAAAGGTGAGACAATCAACTTCTATAAGATCTTGATCCTCGAGAAAGATTTGAAACTTCTTGTTCTAAGCATCATAATTTGTACCATTAAAGAATAGAAGATAGTTGCAAGATCCCGCAACACGATCATGATCCATGGTGAGATTCCACCCACTACCAGTAGCTCCCAGAGATCACTCTATGTATATTTAGAGTAAAGCTCTGATACCAATTTCAATTGGTATCAAGTGGAATAACCTACAATCTAAAATCTATATACGTGCTTGTTTGACAAGTTATCAACATTCATCAACTAAGATCAGATATTTAAGTTTACTCACAGCGGAAGTAGTCAATTCAAGGCTCAGTTTACTGAAGTATTCCTAGTTAACTAAGATCCAGTTCAGTGCACATTTTAACTCTGACAATCTTAGTTGCATGGACTTATCTATTTGCCAATAATAATGAACATATATCACAAGCAAAAAGTAAGATAAGTAAACTTGAAAAACGATAAATTGCACTTGATGTTTTTGGTCGGAAAAACCCACCTCTAGGGTAAAAAAAACTGGGACTCTACTCTAGTCAAATCCACTAGTGTAAACAAGGTTTATATAAAGACCACACAAGCTCAATTCCTAGATCCCTATCTACAGAGCAGCTTTACCTTTGTGCAACCTCACTTTACACAAGATGAGCTTCTTCGGTTTTCACTAAATGGCAGCTCTTCTTAAGCTTTTCACCTTGTGGCACAGATCAACATGATCAATAATATGATATGATTTTATGATATGCACAAGAAATCTGGATTTAAATGACCATTAAGATTGTCCAGTCAAACAGTTGAAGGAATAATCTAACCTGAATCCAAAAGCTTGGTCTAAAAATGAATTTAAAGCTTAAACCAGACTAAGACATAAATGCAAAACCTTAAAATAATGCAATCCTAATATACATTGATTGAATGTTTAATGCATGAGGAATGTTTGACAGCTAGGGTTTCATAAATGGAGAAGATGCAAGCTCAAAGCCTTAAAGCAACTATCTCTCTAAAAATAAACTCTAAACCGCCAAAGAACAATCTGCAACCCTAGAAGCAAATATACGCAAGGAAATCAAATTTTTTGTCAACCAACTTGTCCCAAGAACTCTTGTCAGCTGCAAAATAAATCTAGGCAGATTAATGACCAAAAACTAACTATTAGCAAAAAGGTGTTAGTCAACCCATGTGGGCTGTCTTAATTTCTGTGCCTAGACAGCTGAAAGTCAATGCTCTAAACTAACTAAACAGAATGCAACACAAATAAAGATATGAAATGCACATGCATGAATAAACCTTTTGAAGTGAGATGAGCCACGACTTTGAACATTTAATCACAGTAGCAGTATCTCATAAGCAAAGAATGTAGTATAAAACTAAATTGAGCATGTGGTACACAAATACAATATTTGATAAGGAAAGCCAAACGCTTAAGACTAGACTTTACTTAATGCTAAGGGGATTCTCTCAAAATCCTCTATCACCTCACAGTTTAACGTCAATTCACGTGCTAACATTATAAAACATCCTACCAAAAGCATAAGGTTACAAATAGAATCTATAAAGAGTTCAACTTTGAGAGTCTCCTTAGCATCTCTCTCCCAATTAAATACACCACCTAACAAAAGAAAAAATGGTGTGATATCCACACACCTCTTTTTACTTCTCACACAAATTTATAATTTTGACCATTGAATCGAATGAATTAAAAAAAATCAAATGATAAAAATTAATAAGGGGTGTGTCACTGCAAGAAAAATGATTCCCTTGCACTAGGGATGGACAACGGATATAGTGGGCGGGTAACCGTGATTATTTACCCATAACCATTTATACTCATATCCGCATAACCGTTTACCCGTTGGGCAATTGCCTAAACGGTTATACCCATAACCATTTATAAACGGTTAACCATACCCATAACCGCATACCCATTTAACCGTAACCGTTTAATACTCGTTTACCCATATACCCTTTTTAACCAGTTTATTTTTTTTTACCATTACCCATTTTTCACCCGTCTACATGTTTTTTAACAACTTGAAAATAAAAAAATTTGTCATAATTTTTTTTTTTTACAATTAAACATCATTATAGGTACATTCATCGTACATTTCCGTATTTTAATTTTTTAAGTCTTTATACCATTCTAATAATTGAAATAATAGTTTACGGATGATATTTTTAACTGTTACCAATGAAGGTAAATATAATATTTGCTAAGTATTATTGGGTTACAAAAATTGTTTAGAAGACATTTCTGTCAAAGCATTTATGTCAATTTCACAGTTACCCGCAAGGAATTTAAATTAATTTGGCGAATTCCTTGATGATGAGAATCATCATTCCTGCAACAGTGTTATTGAGAGAAGGACCGATGAATTCCTTGCTAATTTATTGGGTGCTAAGTATTATTGGATCGAGAACATGGTTTGTGCTAATTTTACATATATAAAATACATGGGTAAACGGTTACCCATTTATAACCGCGGTTAATACCCATAACCGTCCATTTAAATTTCACGGGTAAATGGTTATACTCATAACCGTTTATTTATCTAAACGGTTATCCATAACCGTAATGGTTTAATTTAAATAAACGGACAACCGTGGTTACTCATAACCAATGGGTTTTTGCCCATCCATACCCTGCACCAATCCAAATCTAGAATAATAGTTCAGTTAAAACCCAAATTTTACAAATTAAAAAAAAAAGAAAAGAAAAATGTGGAATCTCTTCGCACAGTAGTCAGCTTGTCATAATCAACGGCCCTAATTACGGCGCCAAAAGACTATAAAATCACCCGATTCCTCTGATTCCGCGGCCACAACTTTCACTCTTTGTTGTTCCCTCCTCCGCTCCTCCACGCCTCGCCGTCGCCACCATGTGTGGGATTCTGGCAGTGCTCGGCTGCATCGACAACTCCCAGGCCAAGCGCTCCCGCATCATCGAGCTCTCTCGCAGGTACCGCATTTCCATTTCTTGTTTTTCTTTCCTGAATTTTTTTTATTTTAGGTTGAGAGATGGATAAATGTTTGAGTGCGGATGAATGGATTGTAGGTTGAGGAGTGGATTGCACTGCTATTGAAATTGTTATCTTGCTCATCAACGTTTGGCGATTGTGACCCTGCTTCTGGTGATCAGCCGCTTTACAATGAAGACAAGACTGTTATTGTCACTGTACTCTCTCTCTCTTTAGCATTGCGTTGTTGGTATTAGTATTTCGTTGCATTACGTTGAGCTTATTGGTGATTGATGGGGAGTTTCGATTGAATGAAGATTAGTTTGTAAACTTTTTATTGGGCAAAAGTTGAAATTTTTAATTTGGTTCGTTGGAGTGAAACTAGAAGCTGGAATTTTTATTGTTGGGTTATCACATATCGATTGGAAGTTATTGAAATGTAACTCATTAAATGCATACCCGTAGACGTCTCACATACTATGAAAGAATGTATTATTTTAGTGAAGGAAAAATTTTGTCCTAGCTAAGAACAAGTAAGAACATTTGAATACATATGCAAACTATTAACACATTAAAGTAGGCATGCATTAAAAAACAATTCATAAAACCCATGACTTTCAAAGCCTAGTATACGGTGAACCAATAACTCTTTAACAACATTAAAGAGAAGGAAAGATTTAGAGTTTCTTTACCCTTGAAGCTCATCCTTGATTACACAAGGGATTCACCCAAATGGAGGGCCTTCAAGTCACCTCCTTGCTTCTTGGATCTTCCTTGTGATTTTCCTCCTTTTAGTGCTCCTTTGCTTCTTTGAGGATTTGAGGATTTGTTCTCCAAAACATCAAAAGTTTGATGTCTCTAAGTTTCTTCACCAAGGATGTGATGTGAAGATGAAATGGATGACTTAGGGAAGAAGAGATTGCTAGCTATTTCTTCCCTAGGTGGCCGGCCTCTTTAGAGAGAATGAGAGAAAATGTTTCACCTCATTTCACCAAAAAAAACCCTAAAAGAAAATAAAGCTATAAAGTTGAATTTATACTTCATCACTTGTGAGTGGCAAACTTGTAATTAATCCAAGTTTGATAATACTCACCCTAATGCCCGGCCATATCAAATTGATTGGGCTAATTGCCCATTTTGTTTTAGTTGTCATACAACTTAAACATAATGGGCCTTGTGGACCAAAACGCTTTTGGGCCCCGAAACCCAAAACCACATATAAGCCTAATACAAACATTTCGTATAATTAATTAACTAATTAATTAACCTTGACCATTCTTCAATTAAACCATTTAATTGCTTATCCATTTCATATAATTTCTTCACCAACATCCTTACTCGGTGTACGATCCATTAGGTTCCATTTAACGAGGTAGTGTGCGATTGTTACTCTTAACGATCGATTGTGAATTGAAACCACATTTCAATTCTCCCTTAAAATTAGTGTTTGCTAATCTTTAGGGCTTCCACAAACCATGAGTGACACCTAGCAGCATATCATGGTTACCCAAGCTAAGTAGAAGTGGTTGGAGAACCTATCCAGTTACAACTACAATGCAATATGGTCCTTCTCTAATACAATACTCTTAATCACATTGTTTAAGTGATAGTTTGTTTCATGTCTACTATCCAATGTGATACTTATCTATATGATTCAATTAAATATGATCTGGAACAAACTTCCTTAGTCATATTCATATGCTTTGGCAAAAGATTCTCGAATCATATCTTAGAGTATTCTCCTTCCACCATGGAAGGTTAAAGATTCCTTGTTGTGCATTCATATGCCTACATGACTAGGTAGCTTGACCACAACAATGCCGTGGACACTCCAATGGAATGCCTTTAACATGATCAAAGATCAAGGACCTAACCATTAGACATCTATGATGCCTCAGGTCAAAGGACTACTTTGCATATTGCAACTCTTGAGTTCTTACATGACATGTATGTTCGAACTCTCTTTTGATCGTTGTTCAGTGTACTCGATCACTCTTTTGAGCACCTATGTGTCTGCCTTAGTGTCCAACACTAAATGACATGAGACTAGTCATACTCGCACTTGAGTCGACATAACACATACTAATCTTAGCGGATTGTCAATGCCCAATTGGCAATCCTATGACTAGGAACGTTTTAGGAATGAACATAAGAGAAAGGTCTCAATAATCTAACTTACTTAAATCACTTATCTCTTAGATCAAATACATTCCTTGGATTCCCTTATTGCTTAAACACATGATACAATAAATAGTGATTAACAATAAGCTTTGCCCTTCATTAAACATATAAAAGTTTAATACAATAAGTATTCCAAAAGCTATTACATCAAATGAGTGGCTTTGTGGGCATACTTCCAACATTTAGAAACACAATAGGACTTGAAAGGTGGTGAACTATGCATGAGCAGGGTGGAGCCAGAGGAAACTTTGGTGGAGGCCCTGTAGGGATACTGACGTCCAAATCATTTGTCTGGAGAATTTTTCCTTTTCCTACAAATTCTCATTCTATTCCATGGCCAAAGATAAAGTTACTAGGATTGTCATCAGTTGCACAAAAGTGTTCCCTACTTTTCTCTCCCCACACCCCCTTTCATGATACTCCTGTTAATTTGTGTAGTGAAATAAAGGATTGCATATTCTCGTCACAACCCTGTAATTTTGAACTTCGATTGATCTTGAATTGGCTGCAACCATATCCAGTTCAGATTTTTTGTAGTTTTTTATGTTGGATTATTTTGTTTTCCTCTTTTTTACCTTTTATCCAACTACATTGACTTAAACTTCTGCTTGATTGTTGGAGCTGTGTGTTTAGGTCAATGGTGAGATATATAACCAAAGCAATTGAGAGAAAATCTGAAGTCACATCAGTTCCGAACTGGCAGTGACTGTGAAGTGATTGCACATCTTGTAAGTAAATGAGCATTGCTTTGAGATCTGGTAATCTGTGATTAAATTACTTTCTTTAAATTGGAATAACAAAAATGGTTCTCTCTTGCATTAATTTATGTAAATTATTTTCGTATTTTATCATGAATGTTTATCTTTGGCAGTATGAAGAACATGGAGAGGAGTTTGTAGACATGTTGGACGGCATGTTTTCCTTTGTCCTCCTTGACACAAGAGACCAAAGTTTTATCGCAGCTCGAGATGCAATTGGTATCACCCCCACTTTATATGGACTGGGGTCTTGATGGTATGTACCGTGTCATTTACTTAAAAGAAAAGAAGAAACTATTTTGTTCTAGACCCTTCTAACCAAAACAAGAAAATATATATTATTTGCTAGACTGCTGCTTTATTTTATTATTTTACTGTTAAGAGGTATTTGTAATCACCGTCCAGATTTGAGCCTTATTTATACACATATAACCTACAATCGTTATCATTTTTAAGCTTTGATTATCTCTCAGACACACTCACATTTAAGGAGTTCATATTTATTTGCAGGATCAATTTGGTTTGCTTCAGAAATGAAAGCTTTAAGTGATGATTGCGAAAGATTCATATATTTTCCTCCTGGGCATATTTACTCTAGCAAGCAAGGTCTGTATATGTTGAGCTCTTATTAGTAGCAATGACTTGTGTTGGTGAATCATAGGAGATCTGCGCATACAACCCTCTTATAATGTCCTCGTCCTATTTAAGAAAAAAGTAGAAGAAATAATCCTATTATACTTAAGGATGCAAAGACATTTTACACATACTTGGAGGGGTAGGACATGTTTTTTTATCTCATTACCTTAAAAAGTTAAGAACTTGTGAACTGAGTGTTGTCTTTTTAGATTCGTAGAACATGCATGTAAATTGTTGACCAAAACAAAATATGCATGTAAAATTCTCAAGTTGTGTGCCTTTTAGATTTTGCATGCACTATATTATTTATTTATCCACTATGTGTTTGCAGGAGAACTTAGAAGGTGGTACAATCCACCCTGGTTTCTGGAACAGACACCATCGGCTTCTTATGATCCCCTAGTTTTACGTAAGGCTTTTGAGAAGGTATGCAATGAACTACTTTACATTGTGTTTTCTTTACTATAATTGATGAGTTAGTGGCAATATTTGCAAAGAATCAAACTCCATTTTTGCATTATTTTTTGTTTTGAGAATTATGTTACTTGGACAAATAACCTACCATATAAGTTATTCCTTTTATATACCCATAACCTTGTCCATGCATTTGGTTATGCTAATGTTGGGTGGGTTGAGATGAATTGGAAAGAAAAAAAAAAATAGAGTATCATATTTGTGCTATGTATTCCCTTCTCCCTAGTGGAGCCTCATGTCAAGGCTAGGAATGGTTTCCGAATATATGGTTTGTTCAAATGAATTTACAGGCTTGTTTGGATGTACTTTTAAAATGAAATCACTTTTATAGAAAATATTTTTGGGTTCCAAAAGCTCTTGAAGTGTTTTCTACAAGAAGCACCAGTTATGTGCTTATTCTAGGAAGCATTTAAGTGTTTTTCCAGGATTTACTAGCATTTTTACTAAAGATTGTTTCCAAAAATATTTTTCACCAAAAGCGCTTTCTGTCATTTTAAAAGCACATCCAAACGAGCTCTAAATCTATTTAAAACCAGTTAGTAGGTCAAATTGACTTCTGCATCTCACTCTTATACCACGTTTAGTGTACAATTTCTAATTTTATCTTATACTTTGGTACTGAAATCTTGTAGGCTGTGGTTAAGAGACTTATGACAGATGTACCATTCGGTGTTCTTTTGTCTGGAGGACTGGACTCATCACTTGTTGCTGCAGTGGCTAGTCGCTATTTGGCTGATTCAGAAGCTGCATGTCAGTGGGGATCACAGTTGCACACGTTTTGCATTGGCCTGGAGGTAATCATTTTAGATAGCCAAAACTGGTGCTAACTTAGTGTAGTGCTATCTTACTTATAAAGAACCTGATTTCCAGTTTGAAATAAGTATGCATTACACTTTGTAGTAAAATTTTCAGACAAGGGTGGGCTTCATTCATTTCTTATGCCTATTGATGTCAAACTCTCACTGATAAAAAGTTGTCCATTTCTTATGCCTAATGATGTCTCACTGATAAAAAGTTGTACTCCGACACATTTATGTCTATAATGAAGCTATTGAACTGTTAATACCTTTAAGATATCTACATACTTATATGGTTCATTCAAGTGGCAAGTTCAAAGAAATAAAAGGACCTTGTTGTAGATGTGCAATCGTCATTCCCATGCAAATTCTGGCACCTGAGAGATTTAGGTGTATTTTATTGCAATCAATGTTTTATGAGACATTATCTACTGATGGTTTTTCTCTACATTTAAATGCTACATTTTCAATCTTCAGAGCTCGCCAGATTTGAAAGCAGCGAGAGAAGTTGCAGATTATCTTGGGACTCGTCATCATGCGTTTCACTTTACTGTCCAGGTAATTGATGAAGGATGCAAGAATAATTCTACTCAGGCTTAAGTTATGTCTGAAATTTAGGAATCAGGTGATCTGTTTAGTATTTCTTTTAAAATTTAGGGATTGAATTTAAAGATTAATTTGCTATTCCAAAAATTTATTATCTTTGGCATTTAATGATTTTGCATTGCTTGTGATAGCCTTCACACGGTTGGTATATTGATTAAAAAAACAATATTGTGTTTATACCCATTTTGTTTCTCTGTAAAATCTTCTGTCTTTGTCTTGCTTTTCTTGTACTCATTTCTATACGTTCTTCTATTTTCTACGTTAATTGATTCTTGAGGAAACTTTGTTCTACATCGGTAATTTGAGGAAAAATCACGGATCTACATTCCCAAGATTCATACAAATAATTCATTTCTTTACTTTGATGTTTCAGTAAGGCAACTCCGCCTATGTCTTACATGGCCGGTCCCAAGCCCGGATAAAGGAGGAGGGGGAGGGCGTCAGGTAGTCGACAGCCGGCACTCCATGATCACGTCGAATCCTTATGAAAATGAATCCAGAACAAAATCGCGCTAAAGCTAGGGCGTCACCCGTAAGTGGCGCGCTGTGTGGCCTGAGCAGTGATAAGTGAGCAAGGGTCGCTGTATCTCCATCGGCACCCGGATGCAGTGTTAAATGAGCAAGGGGGCCATAGAAACTTCTTTTCGAACGACTCCACTCAAAGTTGTTTGGGAGCATATGCTCCTATCAACTTTACCCGGGACACACAAAAGAAGTACTTTGATCCTATTAGACGGGGGAGGGTGAAGAAGCTAGGACAGAAGGGTAGAGTTCAAGAGAGCAAAATGCGTTTAGGAACGTGGAATATAGGAACCTTAACGGGAAAATCTATGGAAGTAGTGGAAGTTATGGTGAGGAGAAGGATAAATATTATGTGCCTACAAGAAACTAAGTGGGTTGGTAGTAGTAAGGCAAAGGATCTAGAAAACTCAGGGTTTAAACTTTGGTATTCGGGCACAAATAGAACGAGAAACGGTGTTGGCATCATCGTGGACAAGACCTTGGTACAAGATGTTGTAGATTTCAAGAGGGTAGGAGATAGAATCATGGCAATCAAGATTGTAATAGGACAAGAACTTATCAATGTGATTAGTGCGTACGCACCTCAAGTAGGGTTGGATACGAGTTCGAAGGAGAAATTTTGGGAAGATCTTGGAGACTTGGTGCAAGGAATTGCTCAGACGGAGAAGTTATTTATAGGAGGAGATTTAAATGGACACGTGGGCAGGGAGACAGGCAACTATGGAGGTTTTCATGGTGGCCATGGTTTTGGGGAGAGAAACGAGGATGGGGAAGCTATCTTGGATTTTGCAATGGCATATGATCTCTCTTCTTAGCCAACACCTTCTTTAAGAAGAGAGAAGAACATGTGATCACCTACAAGAGTGGGTCGTCAAAAACACAAATAGATTTTCTTCTAATGAGGAAAGGGGATCGTATAACTTGTAAGGATTGCAAAGTTATACCAGGAGAGAGCGTGGCTAATCAACATCGCTTGTTGGTGATGGATGTACATATCAAAAGAGTAAGACAAAAGAACAAGACTTGGAAGTGCCCAAGGACTAGATGGTGGAATCTAAAAGAAGAAAAACAAGCCATTTTCAAAGAGAAGGTAATCACCCAATGTGTGTGGGATAGAGAGGGGGAAGCTAGCCAAATGTGGGATTCCATGGCTAGTTGTATCCGAAAAGTAGCAAAAGAGGTATTAGGAGAGTCCAAGGGCTTTGCCCCACACCAAAAGGAATCTTGGTGGTGGAATGAGGAGGTACAAACAAAGGTGAAGGCTAAGAAGGAATGTTGTAAAGCCTTATACAAGGAGAGGACCTGATGAAAATGGTGAAAGGTATAGAAAAGCGAAGCAAGAGGCGAAGAAAGCTGTCAGAGAAGCTAAGTTAGCGGCTTACGACGATATGTATAAACGACTAGATACCAAAGAAGGAGAGTTGGATATCTATAAACTATCTAGAGCAAGGGAAAAGAAGACAAGGGACCTAAACCAAGTGAGGTGCATCAAGGATGAGGATGGAAAGGTTCTTGCTACAGAGAACGCGGTTAAAGACAGATGGAGAGGTTATTTTCATAATCTTTTCAATGAAGGACATGAAATGAGTGCTTCTTTAGGGGAGTTGAGTAACTCAGAAGAGTGTAGAAACTACTCTTTTTATCGTCGAATCCGGAAGGAAGAAGTGGTTGTAGCTTTGAAGAAGATGAAGCATAAAAAAGCAATAGGCCCAGACGATATACCAATCGAAGTGTGGAAACTTTTGGGAGAGACAGGTATAACATGGCTCACTGACCTTTTCAATAGGATTTTGAAAACGAAGAAGATGCCAAATGAGTGGCGAAACGAGCACTTTGGTGCCTATCTACAAGAATAAGGGCGACGTACAAAATTGCATGAACTATAGGGGTATTAAGCTAATGAGTCATACAATGAAGCTCTGGGAGAGAGTCATTGAGCATAGATTGAGGCAAGAGACACGGGTTTCGGACAACCAATTCGGGTTCATGCCAGGGCGCTCAACCATGGAGGCAATCTATCTCTTACGAAGATTGATGGAAAGATATAGAGATGGGAAAAAGGATTTACACATGGTCTTTATAGATTTGGAAAAAGCGTATGATAGGGTCCCAAGAGACATTCTTGGAGGATTTTAGAGAAGAAAGGAGTACGAGTAGCATATATCCAAGCTATAAAGGATATGTATGAAGGAGCAAAGACTGCCGTAAGAACTCATGAAGGACAAACCGAAAGCTTTCCCATAACTGTAGGATTACATCAAGGCTCATCCTTAAGTCCTTACCTTTTTGCGTTGGTAATGGATGAGTTAACAGGACATATTCAAGATGATATTCCTTGGTGTATGCTTTTCGCAGACGATATAGTGTTGATAGATGAAACTCAGGAAGGGGTAAATGCAAAGCTTAACCTTTGGAGAGAAGTGTTGGAATCTAAAGGTCTTCGCCTAAGCCGATCAAAGACAGAATATATGGAGTGCAAGTTCAGTGCAAATGGAGGCCAAAACGAGTTAGGGGTGAGGATCGGAGATCAAGAAATACCAAAGAGCGACCGTTTTCGTTACCTAGGATCTATCTTGCAAAAGAACGGAGAATTAGATGGAGATCTCAACCATAGAATACAAGCTGGATGGATGAAGTGGAAGAGTGCATCCGGCGTGTTGTGTGACCGCCGTATGCCACTGAAGCTCAAGGGAAAATTTTTATAGGACGGCAATAAGGCCGGCGATGCTGTATGGCACAGAATGTTGGGCGGTGAAACATCAACACGTACACAAAATGGGTGTAGCGGAGATGAGGATGCTTCGTTGGATGTGTGGGCACACGAGAAAGGATAAGATTAGGAATGAGGATATCCGGGGTAAAGTAGGAGTAGCCGAAATTGAAGGAAAGATGAGAGAGAAAATCGGTTACGGTGGTTTGGACATGTGCAAAGAAGGCCTACTGACGCTCCGATTAGAAGATGCGACTATGGGACAGAGGTTCAGGGCCGAAGGGGTAGAGGAAGACCTAGGAAAACTTTGGAAGAGACTCTAAGAAAAGACTTAGAGTACTTGGATCTAACGAAGGACATGACACAGGATCGAGCACAATGGCGTTCTAAGATTCATATAGCCGATCCCACTCAGTGACTTGGATTTTCCAAGTCTCCAACCGAGAAGTTTTCCTCACTCGGGAAATTAAGGGAACACTACCCCAACCTACATGCTCCACTCAGAAAGCTTCAACATACAAGCTTTCAACAAAAGAAAATTCAAAGAACTTAGCGAAGAAGGCTTTGGTGTATTTAACACAATACGTTGAAATGAAGGAAAGCTTATTTATTGATATCCCCGATAAGCTACAAATATGTACATATACATGAGTCAAAATAAACACACAAGAGGGAGCCTTCACAAAGGTTGCTTAGGAGAAGTCTCAGCAGTCGGTAGAGCCCCAGAAAGAGAAGGCACCGGAGGGGGATCATTTGGAGCCTCAGTACTGGACAGAACCCTAGAAGGAGGAGGCATCAGAGGTTGATCATTTGGAGCTTCATTACGCGGTACAGCCCCAGAAGACGAAGGCAATAAATGCCTTTGGAACAAACCCACAAATCTCTGATGATCAAGTAAAACCTGACCATCAGTTTCCTTCATCTGGTCAAGCTTCCTCTTCATGTTTGTAGCATAGTCATGTGCGAGCCGGTGCAACTGTTTATTCTCATGCTTGAGCCCTCTAATCTCCTGTTTGAGACTCATCACTTCAGCCGCCAATGATTCAACTTGGCGGGTTCGAGCAAATAGGCGTTGGGCCATATTAGACACAGAACCTGCACACTGAACACTGAGAGCCAGCGAATCCTTAACAGCTAACTCATCAGACCGTTTGGAAAGTAGTCTGTTATCTTTGGGAGTGAGAAGGTTCCTGGCCACCACCGCAGCGGTCATATCATTCTTCATCACGGAATCCCCAACGGTAAGAGGACCAGTAGGGGAGACGAAGGATGGGCGCCATATGTTGTCTGGAGAAGGCGGGGCTGCCTCTTCAACAAGGTTCAAGTCAAAACGACGGTCGGAGGGGCCAGACATTTTCAAAGGTGTTGAAGAGAGAAGAGGTCGGACAAATCAAGATCTTAGAAGTGCAAGAATGAAGCTTCTACTGGTGGAGATTCAAGTGTGCTTTGGAACTTAATGCCAGCCCCTATAAAAATCTGCACTCGACGGAAGCTTCAGAAATCGAAGAGGCGCCTGCTCAGAAATCGAAGAGGCGTTTGCTTTCTCAAAAGCTGGGCTGCTTAGAGATCACGAGGGTTGATCTCAGAAATCGAAGAGGCGTTTGCTTTCTCAAAAGTTGGGCTGCTCAAAGACCACGAAGGCCGATCTCAAAAATCGAAGAGGCGCTCGCTTTCTCAAAAGCTGGGCTCCCCAGAGACCACGAGGGCCGATCTCAGAAATCGAAGAGAGGCACCTACTTTTCCAGCCTTTTCCAGCCTTGTCAGCACCTGTCACACGCACACTCAGCTTTGCGGAAATTATGGGCATTCTGTCAAAGACTTCTGGGGAAGTAGAAAACACATGAATCTTACTGTTCAATCACCCACTTCCCACACGCAACAATAGCTCATGGGTACCACAGATAACTTTGCCAAAGTTCTCTGCCAAAGTTGAGCACGTGAAGCTTGCAGCTCCCACTACATCGCTCTGACCAAGAAGGGTAAAAGAATAGCAAAGAAACAGCACTAACAAAGTTTAGACCCATAAATTTTGAAGGTCTAGCTACCATATTATTACCCACAAGGGTAAAGGAACAGTACCACTGCTGGATAATTGGAAAGTCCCTGTGTGTCAACCTCTGTGCTTCGTGGCAAGGTAGACTAGCAAACATGCCCAACCTTTACTCACATTCGAGAAAACACTCCCAATAAGATTGCTTGCTCCAAAATCGAAGAGGCACCGTCCTCCGAATCTCGAGAGCCAGACTCCCAACATGACTACTTTCTTAAAAATCGAAGAGAGGGTAAAGGAACAGTACCATTGCTGGATAATTGGAAAGTCCCTGTGTGTCAACCTCTGTGCTTCGTGGCAAGGTAGACTAGCAAACATGCCCAACCTTTACTCACATTCGAGAAAACACTCCCAACAAGATTGCTTGCTCCAAAATCGAAGAGGCACCGCCCTCCGAATCTCGAGAGCCAGACTCCCAACATGATTACTTTCTCAAAAATCGAAGAGACACTGCTCCCCGAATCTCGAGAGCCAGACCCCCAGCATGATTGCTTTCTCAAAAATCGATGAGGCATCGTTCTCCGAATCAATCGAAGAGGCGCTCGCTTTCTCAAAAGCTGGGCTGCTCAGAGACCACGAGGGCCGATCTCAGAAATCGAAGAGGCACCTACTTTTCTAGCCTTGTCAGCACCTGTCACACGCACACTCAGCTTTGCAGAAATTATGGGCATTCTGTCGAAGACTTCTGGTGAAGTAGAAAGCACATGAATCTTACTGTTCAATCACCCACTTCCCACACGCAACAATAGCTCATGGGTACCACAGATAACTTTGCCAAAGTTTCTCTGCCAAAGTTAAGCACGTGAAGCTTGCAGCTCCCACTACATCGCTCTGACCAAGAAAGGTAAAAGAATAGCAAAGAAACAGCACTAACAAAGTTTAGACACATAAATTTTGAAGGTCTAGCTACCATATTATTACCCACAAGGGTAAAGGAACAGTACCACTGCTGGATAATTGGAAAGTCCCTGTGTGTCAACCTCTGTGCTTCGTGGCAAGGTAGACTAGCAAACATGCCCAACCTTTACTCACATTCGAGAAAACACTCCCAACAAGATTGCTTGCTCCAAAATCGAAGAGGCACCGTCCTCCGAATCTCGAGAGCCAGACTCCCAACATGACTACTTTCTCAAAATCGAAGAGAGGGTAAAGGAACAGTACCATTGCTGGATAATTGGAAAGTCCCTGTGTGTCAACCTTTGTGCTTCGTGGCAAGGTAGACTAGCAAACATGCCCAACCTTTACTCACATTCGAGACAACACTCCCAACAAGATTGCTTGCTCCAAAATCGAAGAGGCACCGCCCTCCGAATCTCGAGAGCCAGACTCCCAACATGATTACTTCCTCAAAAATCGAAGAGACACTGCTCTCCGAATCTCGAGAGCCAGACCCCCAGCATGATTGCTTTCTCAAAAATCGAAGAGGCATCGTTCTCCGAATCTCGAGAGCCAGATACCACAGACCACTTTTTCAAAGTGCTCTGACAGAGTTAAAACATGTGAAACTGGCAGCTCCCACTACCGTGCTATGACCAAGCAGGGTAAAGGAATAGCATTACTACTTGTTGTTAGGGAGACTCCTATATATGTCGACCTCCATCCCCAACGGACAGGCAGACCTGCAAAAATGCTCAACCCTTCATCATATCTGAGAGGGCACTCCCAACGAAGCCTTTCGAAATATTCAGCTTTCTTTCCCCCCGATAATACCTCTGCAAACAAGCTATACTAGAGCAAGAATATCTCATATCATCAGGGTTAAAAGCAAGAGTATCCCATATCATGCTTTTTTCCCTGTCTTTTCCTTTTGGCCTTGTTTTTACCTGCAAGACAAGGAGAAAGAGAGCAATCAGTCAGCACTTGGAATCAAGCTTCCAGCCAGGAACTGACTGCCTGGAACCCCTTACCTGATTACTTACCTGGCATTGCTCTCGAGTACTCATCTTCAACATCTTATGTTTCCAGGGAAGATTCCGCATCTGCTTGAGGAACAGATAGGGCAAGTGCGAAGGATACAAGGAAGCATGTGGAGACAAGCGTAACAGCACACGTGCCGATACATCCATTACTCTGTCAAAAGCAAAAGTATCCCATATCAGCAGGGTGGAACGTACTCTAGATTTGATGGACTTGTTTTGACCCTCAAATTCTTCAGTCGGCCTTATACTCTGGAGGAAACCAGAAAACCCTCCAGCTCAGTTCAAGAATAAGCCTGTGGAAAGTTACTTCTTCAAAAGCAAAAGTATCTCATATCATCTCTTCTCATTTTTCTTCTCTTTATCCTTCATCATGCTGCTGCAAGATGGGGAGAAGGTGAACAATCAGTCGGAGCTCTGATTGCTTACCTTGTCTGTCACCTCTTTCAGCAGACCCCCTAGCTCGGCGACTTGGGGGACTCCTACTACATGGTTTGTATCGCGCTTGACCAAGCCTGAAACTACAAGTAAGCTTCAAGTGAAATTGATACATTACCTTGTGCATCTCCACCAGTTAAAGATACCACCCCTGGATGGAGGAAGAGTACTTCCAGAGAAGATGCCACATCTACCTATGAGACAGATAAGGCAAGTCAAGACGACACCACACTCCGATACTTAGAAGTTTCGTGATTACGAGATCATTCTCCCACAATATTTCCTAATGTCATTTGTACTAAATCATTCACTTGTACTCACTAAAGGAGAGCTTGAACCTATGTACTTGTGTAAACCCTTCACAATTAATGAGAACTCTTCTATTCCGTGGACGTAGCCAATCTGGGTGAACCACGTACATCTTGTGTTTGCTTTCCTATCTCTATCCATTTATATACTTATCCACACTAATGACCGGAGCAATCTAGCGAAGATCACAAAAAGCGACCGTTTTCGCTACCTAGGATCTATCTTGCAAGAGAACGGAGAATTAGATGGAGATCTCAACCATAGAATACGAGCTGGATGGATGAAGTGTAAGAGTGCATCCGGCGTGTTGTGTGACCGTCGTAGGCCACTGAAGCTCAAGGGAAAATTTTATAGGACGGCAATAAGGCCAGCGATGATGTTGTATGGCACAGAATGTTGGGCGGTGAAGCATCAACACGTACACAAAATGGGTGTAGCGGAGATGAGGATGCTTCGTGGGATGTGTGGGCACACGAGAAAGGATAAGATTGGGAATGAGGATATCCGAGGTAAAGTAGGAGTAGCCGAAATTGTAGGAAAGATGAGAGAAAATCGGCTCCGGTGATTTTGAACATGTGCAAAGAAGGCCGACTGACGCTCCGGTTCGAAGATGTGACTACGGGACAGAGGTTCAGGGCCGAAGGGGTAGAGGAAGACATAGGACAACTTTGGAAGAGACTCTAAGAAAAGACTTAGAGTACTTGGATCTAACGGAGGACATGACACAAAACCGAGCGCAATGGCGTTCTAGGATTCATATAGCCGACCCCACTTAGTGGGAAAAGGCTTTGTTGTTTGTGTTGTTGGATTTGTAAAAATTATCATCAATTCCATTCCTTCCTGACTTTTTGAAAATTAATGAATTTTTTCCTTTAAAACAAAAACGGAGGGTACTAGCGTCAGAGGTACCCCACGAACTATCTGTTCCCCTAGTTGTTTCTTTTTTGTTTTATTTGCACAAATGGTTATGTACTTTCAATATTTCAGGGTTCTTTTTCTTCCTTTCTTCTACTTATTGATGGCCATTTTAACATTTGCTGTAGTTTTTTTCCCCTTACTGAACTGTTGTAACTACTCGACAGAATAAAGCTCTTCATCTGTATGACTGTCTGAGGGCCAATAAATCAACTTCAGCTTGGGGTGTTGAGGCTCGTGTGCCCTTTTTGGATAAAGAATTCATCAATATTGCCATGAACATTGATCCAGAATGGAAAATGGTAAAGCACATACACCGTTGGTATTTCCCTCTATTTCTCAGTTTTGTATGAAGCAGCTCATATAAAATATAATTCCAAGTTTACTACTGTCATTTGGCATACAGTGGCTCCCATCCATAACACAAATTAAGAAATGGCTCAGTCTCATTGTCCTCTAAATACTTGCACTTATAACTGCAGATCAGGCCTGGGAGAATTGAGAAGTGGGTCTTACGCAATGCATTTGACAATGATCAGAAGCCATATTTGCCAAAGGTCTGTTACTTTGCATTTTTGTGCCAGTAATCATGTTATACATGATTATTATTGTACTTGTTTTATTGTTGTCAGTAAGGTGTCTTGTATTCAAATTTCATACGTTGTTGAGAACCCAGCCTCTCACAGTCCGCACTTGAATATTTTTTTTGTTATATATATACATACTTTGTTTCAAAACCAGCTGGGCTCTCAACAAATATGGTCAATCGACCAGCCACTCACTCCGCTGTGTGGAGGTGCCCTATTTGTGCAATATATAGCTAACTTGTTTGTACCTTGTGTTTGTTGGGTTATAGCACATATTGTACAGGCAGAAGGAACAGTTCAGTGATGGTGTTGGCTACAGTTGGATTGATGGCTTGAAAGATCATGCAAACAGTCAAGTAAGCATCACCTTAACTTAAAGTGAGATTTTTTATGGAAATATTCGTTGTCTGTGTTGTCTGCCACTTTCCAGGTTATTAATTTGGACTGTTGATTAGGCATGTCCTTTTTGAATTTGTGGTCCAAATTGAGAGTTTGGCGGTAGAATATGGCCTAGAGACGTCAGGGTAGTTAAAAACGTCTAATTTTACTTTACTTTATAATTTAATTTATATACAGGCAAAGAATATGCATAAAGATAACACTATGATTAAAAATTGGAATGAACAAAGATGAAGTAAAGGATAATTAACAACTGCAATTAGAAAAGATAAGATATGGTAAAGCTGAATTTTGATGGATTGGTGTCCAAGGACAAGGCTGCTGTGACTTTTGTTCTCAGAAATTGTGACGGTCATGGTGTGAGAGCGGGTGTTTTAACCTTTATGGGCTTAAAAGAAGGCCTCAAGTTTGCTTGGTACAAGGGTTTCCAATGGGTGGTTGTGGAGGGGGACTCCAAAATTTTTATCGAAGCAATGAAAGGAAGTTGGGAGGTCCCCTGAAAAGATCAAAACGTTAATCGAGGATGCACGTGGTAGTGCTTGCTCCTTTAGGCAGGTCGATTGGAATCATATTTACCATGAGGCTAACTTTGTCGTTGATGCCTTGGCCCACATTGGTCTTTCTCTAGAATCTTCACATGTTTGGGGTCACTACTTACCTACTAGTGCCCTTCTTGCTTTTAACTTTGATTTATTGAAAACGGTTGTACTCATGGTTTTTTGCTTTAATGCCTATTATTTTATGGATCCCAAAAAAAAGAAAAGGATAAAGATAAAGCAAACTCACATTTATTTTTTGATGTTCAAATTTAGAGGGAAGCACTTCAGAGTTTTGATACAAAGATAGCACTCAAAAGGAAAGCACCAAAGATAATATTTTACCAAGTGAAATTTTTTATGTACACACAACTAAGCCAAGAAGCCCTATAAATAGAAAACCAAAAGCAAATTGGAAGTCCACGTGTCGTAAAAACAGATAGACACCATAAAGCAGCTTTGCACATTGGGCGGCATCTTCACTTTATGGAGTGGATTTGACTCAACTTCACAAGGTTGAACAGAAACATTCTTGAAAAAGAAGCACATTGACAAAAACTACAGGAACCAAGGACAATTATTCAAGGAAATAATAATTGTCGGCATTTAGATATCAGACAACACATTTTCTTATCTTTATCACTTTATCTTTCATCAGAGAAAAGCATTTCATGTTTTATTTCTTTGAACGGATAGGAGGACAGATCCCATAATAGTCATTTTTGTTATCATCTCCGAAGTCTTCATCCATGTGATGCTGGGATGACGCAACTTCTGACTCTATATCCTCATCATCTAAGCCGTCCAGTTCAAGAATTTTCAAAACTTTTTCTTTCAAATTCTTTTTTTTTGAACAGAAAGGGCTGGACTCGATTAAAGACAGGTTTTTCAGTCTTTTTGAATGAATCAAGGGTAGAGCAAGGTAACTCAGCAACATGCTGCCTATCAGATAGGATTCTTCTGGCTTTGAAAGCTGATGACTTTAAATGATCAAGATGAAATTTACACGCAAGAGCCATAGATCCTTCATTGCTTCTTATGCCAATGATAATGATATTATACACTAATTTTGGGATCATATAAATCTTTCTGTGGGGATGTGCGTCCTTCCATGAGTGTGACAAGTCGAGGTGTAGGCTGAACATAAGTATGTGGAGTGAGGGTCTTCAAAATCACATGTGATTTGCAGGTGGACAGATGATTTGGTAATTGTATGGGAGTCCTGAACTCGAATCTTGACTCCTACCTGCAGTTGAGGTGGTTTGACACCTTCAGGAGCATGCCAGTGGGGATCAAATTTTCACACTTTTTGCATTGGCTTGGAAGAAACAAAAACTCTGCCTCTCTTTAGATGGCCAAAATTGGTGCTTACTGAGTGTAGCGCTATCTTGTGTAGATATCCGAATGTGAAGCTCTCTCAAGGTCCCCACCGCTTCCCCTTTTCCCAGTTCTCCTGGACGTGCTGTGTGGTCAATGCAAGTCCCGCATAGGTGAAGCTCTCTCAAAAATTTTACTGAGTGTAGTGCTTTAACGTCACGCTGCCGATCTGTTTATTATCCATTCAAAACTGGTACAGAACCTGAATTCCAGTATGAAATAAGTACGTATTACACTTTGTAGTTAAAAATTCAGACAAATGCCACTGATAAAAAGTTGGAGTCCGAGTCCGAATCCGGCACGTTTATGTCTACTGGGGCAATTGAGCTGCTAGTACGTTTATGATATCTGTATATTTGTATAGTTCCATTAGTATGGCAAATTAAAAGAAATAGGAGGTCCTAGCTGTAGATGTTCATTCGTCTTTCCCATGTAGAGATCCGAAGAGCAATATACGGTACGATCATGGTCCAGCCTAGGTTTCGAAGACTGTTTTTGTTATGTGTATAAGAAAGGCATTGGCAACCAGCATACTATTCACAATCATTACTACCTAATCAAAACCGTCGTACGTACAATGCTAAGGTGGTGTTTATGTACATGGAGGGGCTTTTATGTACAATTGTAATAGGAAACATCATCCATATACTAGCTCCAGCAACAGTAATAAACCTCTTGTTATGGTGATGATACAACAACCATCAGAGAAAAATGCGGTCTAAATTAAGCATTCACCAACGGCATATCCCAGGTGACTCCATACGGCTTAGAGCAAGTACTTCCTCATACTTGGTAGCATATACGAAGCCCCATAACTGCATTACACAAAAGTATATGACTTCATAATATTTTCATCTATTTTCCTCGGAAACAATCGGAATTCATTACGAATACACACACACACACACATCCTTCAGAGAGCATTTGTGCATACCTCAACTTCTTTCACCTCAAAGTCTTCTGAGTTTGCAAGACAAGGATTCCCATAGGTTTCAGAGCATGAGCTTGATCCACTCAAGCTGAGACCAAAAAAGCAAAAATTGACCAAAAGAGCAACAAAAGCAACAACTTATCAAAATTATAAATCACTTTATAAACAGGGATTGCTAAATAAGAAAAGAGTTTTACAAGGAAAAGAAAAAATATTAAAGAAACGAAGGCAAAATTCTCACAGCTCACTGTCCAAATATAGCGCAAAATGACCACCCCCGCCAATTGCTAAAAAGTCATTGGAGCACAATGTGAAATAGCGATTTGCACCTGCTTGTACATTTTGCAGTTAATTCTAGCATAATTAGTTTAATATTTTCCACTCAGGTATTTATAAAAGAAGAAGAAGAAGAAGAAGAAGAAAGAGAAGAGAACATAATATTTTAATACTTACACAGTGGTTTTCCTCTCTTAAGATGGTTTCATGAATGATAAACTATACACATATTCCAAATGCAATACTCAAGCCTTCCCCAACAAAAAGAAAACAACCATCGTATAATATTTCAAATGGTATATTTAGCATTGAACATGGACCATACAATTGGTTCTGTGCAGTTGCTTATAGAATCAAAAGCGCCAGGACTGCCATTGGGCATTAGGACCCGAACCACATATAGTCCATAAAACTAAGAATATGAGAGTTAAAGAAAGCAATCACATAATACAAAAGCTACATCAGAAGAATGAAGGCTACGAAAAAAGTTTAACCTAATAGAAATTATAAGATTACATTGGTTCAAAACGCTCCACTACTACTACTACAACTACTATTGCTACTACTACTATATGTTGGACAGTGTGCTTTATACATTTTCAACATATTTAATGACAAGACATATTTTAGTTACTCCCTCACAGAATATTTATTGCAAGCAAAAGTATTCAAGTTTCTATCTCTATCTAATATGAATAAGAAAAAAATTTTAAGGCATGAAAAGGAACAAGCCTGCCACCTAAATAAGTTGATGAAAAGTTAGAAACTTTATACCCTGGAAGTAAATAGGATAAATTGGTACCTGTAGGGCGAAATATAACAGGATGGCCAGGTGTATTTGTGAAAACAAATGTATCATTTGTTCCCTGTTTAAAATGTCAGCATTATTACAACATACATAGAATGAAATCTTTGTAGATGAACTCAATAGACAAAATGCTTTTTAGCAGGACCTGATACTTCTTGTTTGTTGGTCTAAGAGGTGCCTCCACCAAGCCGCCAAAAACTGCATCTTTACGGTCTCCAACAACCTGTGAAAAAATAAAGTAGAAAATTTTTATTTGGAGAATATGCATATAGATGAACTATGAACTTAAAAACCAGCAAGTTTGATAACGAGTTACAGAAGCAATCCAAACAAATAATTAAGGCAATTGTTCATTATACTTTCCCAAACTGCATGAGCTCAAGGAATCTTGTTGATAATTGTTCAGTTTGTGTCACGTCCTGTTGCTTAATAGATGATTTGAACTTAACACGGTACTATAAACAAATTTAGTTGGTCTAAACATGGTGATATGGAAATTTGTTGAAATGAATGATGCTAATAGTTTGGTTAATAATTACCAGCAAACTGAGGCCCGGCCAAAGCATGCTTCTTCTGTATAGGGTTGACAATGATATGCCATGCCTCCATGTACTGCAGGACACGAGGAATACATTTGTACGATGTTGCATAGGAATGATAAAAAAAAACTTTCAAAAGATCTAACTGTAATGCTGCAAATGAATATTCATGTGTACCTATACAGCAACAACCATTTCCGTCCTTGAACAAGCACTGGCATTGAAGCGTAAAGAGCAGTTCTAGTTATTTTCTGTAAGAAGTAAAGACGGTTCAGAAATGTCTGGGTGATCAACCAAAGGCACAGGCGTTGGGGCTTTCTGCATAGGCCTCATCTCAACTCTAGTGAAGTTCGAATCATTTGCATCATCAACTTTCATGTCAGGGTTACCCTTGCGTTCTTGACTCCGATGCACACCAAATCTTGCAGCCTGGGACATAACTTTACTAAGCGACTGTTTCCCCTTAGAAAGCAAACTTTTCTTTCCAGCATTTCCTTTCATTGCGGAATCAGA